TTTGGACATGTTCAGAGGAGGGAGAGGGAGTATATTGGTAGGAGAATGTTGGACATGGAGCTGCCAGGCAGGAGGCGAAGAGGAAGGCCAAAGAGGAGGTATATGGAGGTAATAAATGAGGATATGAAGCTAGTGGGTGCAAGTGTTGAGGATGCAGAAGATAGGGATAGGTGGAGAGTGATGATTCGCCGTGGCGACCGCTGAAGGGAAAAGCCGAAAGAAGAAGATTCTTCTCGCCTTGTTCGGAAATGGCTCAAGTGTTGACACAGGGTATAAATTTCATGTCAAGAAAGTAACAGAATCGTTCATCTGCGATGTATTATCTCAGTGTCTGAAACGTGAACATCCAGTAGTGATGCGCAGTGGTGCTAGAAAGTTTATGAACCCTGTAGGGTTTTAAGCCAAAAACTTGTGTTTACAGCTTACGCTAATATGCATTTCTCATACAGATCAAATCTGGATCTACTTTGGCAAGATTGTAATTCCACTTTTCACTAACATGCATCTGAGTTTACTTTCCAGTATAAAAATCTTGATACATACAGTGCTGTGCAGAAGTCTCATTAATTAATTAATATATAAATATGATGACCCTTTGCTTTAAAAAAAAATAGTAGTCTCAGGTGCAGTGTGTGCAGTTGTATAAGGAAATGAGCTGTAAGTGTTACTGAGCATCTTGCAGAAGCAGCCGCAGTTCTTCTGGAGACTTTGACTGTCACACTTGCTTCTTATTTCTGCAGCGAAACCCAGCAGCCTTCATTGTGTTTTTATCTGAAAAGTGCTCGCTTATATAATATCCTTCTTTCTTTACTGATATACAAACATTTTTCCTGTAACATTTATTTTTGTGCTGGAAAACTAATGTTTGGAAATCTAACATGTTTCTGTATTGAATCAATAATGTAGACATCATAAAAGAACAAAGTTTGCACTAAAAAAAAAAAGGTGCCTAAGACTTTGGCACAGTACTGTACAGTGTTTCCGTTTTACTTCCGGGACCATTTTGTCTTGAATCCAAACCCGATACTTCATCACATAACGAGCACACCATACTCTTGAGTTAAATGACTTTTTAGACTAGTTAACTGGACTTTCAGGCAAGCATGACTTAGGACCGGGGTGATAAAGGTACTGAGTACTGTATCAAAATCTGTTCAAGACTCATGTAAAAGTAGAACACTGGAGCCAAGTATCTACTTGAGTCGAAAAGTGAATACGTTTAAACATGCTGAAGTGTTCAAGAGTAAAACGGTGAATATTTTTAAGTGATGAAAAAGAGCTGACCACAAGCGCATCGTGACCAACCCTGCATGACTAGCTAACTCGCTAAGCAACCAGTCATGAGGAAAATAAACTGCTAACTCAGACACACCTAGAATTTGCCTTGCTAATTAGCTAATATTTAATAACCCTACTGGAATGAATGCTAAGGCACATTTGCAATAAAAACAAATATAACTAGCTAGCTAATTTAACAAATTAAATTATAAATTATAACTAGCTAGCTAATTTAACAGACTAAATTATAAAATTTAACTAGCTAGCTATTTAACAAACTAAATTATAAAATATAAGTAGCTAGCTAATTTAACAGACTAAAATACAAATTAAACTAAATTATAAAATATAACTAGCTAACTAATTTTACAAATAAAATACAAACATAACTAGCTAGCTAATTTAACAAACTAAATTATAAATTATAACTAGCTAGCTAATTTAACAGACTAAATTATAAAATTTAACTAGCTAGCTATTTAACAAACTAAATTATAAAATATAAGTAGCTAGCTAATTTAACAGACTAAAATACAAATTAAACTAAATTATAAAATATAACTAGCTAACTAATTTTACAAATCAAATACAAAACACAACTAGCTAGCTATTTAACAAACTAAATTATAAAATATAACTAGCTAGCTAATTTAACAAGCCAATCTACAA